CTTCACAAAGTTGTGAGTGGTGTGAGGTGGGCGGGAGTGTGCACGGGTGGCTGTGGGGCAGGGCAAGGCCCATCCTGGCTTCTGTGCCCTTGAGCCCTGGCTCGGCACAGCGGTGTTTAGGAGCAGCCCGGCTCACGAAAGCATGTGGTCTTCTGCTTTTCTGATCTGCCCGCACGCTGTCTGCCAAAACGTTTAGGGCTCCATCAGCTTTGCCGGTGGCCTCCTGCATCAGACCGGGGCAGAGCTGCGTGTGTCTGGGTGGTTCTGGAGAGCTGTGCCGCTGGGGATGCTCTCGGCCGTGGGACACCGCTCTCCGGTCCGGCTGCGGTGTGTCCTGGCCACGCAGGTGGCCTGCGGGGAAGCAGCCTGGGTGCCTGAGCAGCAGCGCCGGCTGCAGCTGCGGTGGCCGGTGTTGGGCTGGGACAAGGCTCTGGAGAGGAGCGAGAGCTTCTGCTCCCTCGGCAGATGTTTCTCTCGTCCGTCCTGACTCCAACAGGCTTTATTTTTCTGACTGCATCATGCCCGAGGGCTTTGCCGTGCTCCTCCTGTGGCCCAGCCTGCCCGAAGCCGGTGCAGGGGGCAGTGCCCGAGCAGGGAGGGTGCAGAGCTGTGGCGTCGGTGACGCCGGACGCCTGTCCGGGGGGAGCGGGGCGCAGACCACCCACTCCTTCTGCAGAGGTCACCCGGCAGATGGTAACTGTTGGTCACTGGAGTGGGGCCAAGGAGCTGGAGATGAAAGGCTCCCCGGCCTCTTAATGAACCACTCCCCGCGCAGGCACCTCGGCCCCCTGCAACACAAGCTTTATTTACATCCATTAAAGGCACTTGGCCGGTTTATCGAAGCAGCAGTGCTCTCACTCCCTGCTCCTCGGGGCAATGTCACTGTCAATATTTGCCTTGGAGGAATGTGTCCTGCAGGCGAAGGCTTGTTTTGTGGCCAGGGGGACTCCTCCTCCCTCGTGCCTTGCAGCCCTTGCTGCTGGCGCAGGTGCTGTCACCCCCCAGAGCAAAGGCTCAGCCCCGGCTTTCCCAGCAGTCCCATGAGGTGACACTTCCACGCTGTCCCTTGGGCGGGGGGCTGGCTAGGCTGACCCCCCGAGCCGTGCCGGCACACGGAGCAGGACTTCACATGCACTGCGGAGAAAAACTCTTTCCAGGGGATCGGGGAGCATCTGTGGGCAGACTTGGCTGCCCCTAAAAGGAATAAAGCTGTCGATCGTGCTGGAGGGGGTAATGTGCTGCTGCTTCTCCTTTCCTGGCTCCTGGGGAGGTGGGCTGGCCGGCTGGGGCCATCCTCATCCTCGCGGAAGGGCCGGTGCCCAAGCAGCAGCCTCTGCTGGTGGAGGCACTCTCCGGAGTCGCCGAGCTCTGCAGGCTCCAGTTACTGGTTAGGTGAGAGCCCAGGCATCGATCGCTCCCCTTCCTCCGCAAAGCCAGGCTTGATTTATTTTTTATCAGATAATATCCTTTGTGTTGCAAAGTGTCTGGAGCCGAGCTTGGCCCCCCCTGCCAAATCGCAGCGTGAGCCGGGTGTGCGATGCACGCAGCAGATGTGCAGGGAGGCGGCGGGGGCTGAGCCCCGCTCTGTGA